GCATAATATTCCATGGTGTATATGTGCCACATTTTCCCTATCCAGTCTATCGTCGATGGGCATTTGGGTTGGTTCCAGGTCCTTGCTATTGTAAACAGTGCTGCAATGAACATTAGTGTACACATTTTCTTTAACCAGTCTATCATTGATGGACGTTTGGGTTGGTTCCAAGTCTTTGCTATTGTGAATAGTGCTGCAAAAAACATATGTGTGGATGTGTCTTTATAATAGAATGATTTATATTCCTTTGGGTATATACCCAGTAATGGGATTGCTAAACGGTCTTTCTTTCTTGAGAAGAAACCCTATGCAACGTCAGGTCCAGGTGACATAGCTCAATGCAGACAAGTGGAAAAGGAGCAGCTCTCCATCATCGGTCCCTGGAACACATGGGTATCTACTAATGGAAAAAGAAATTTACATTCTAGCAAGGAGAGACAGACAATAAACAATTCATTATATTAGGTAGCATGTCTGATACGTGCTGTGTAGATAAACCATGAGGAAGAACAATAGAGAATTATGGGGTGGGATTGTTGTGGTTTTGAAAGAACAGCTTGGGAAGGCCTCTCTGAGAAAGTGACATTATGGAAAGGTCTGAAGGATATGAGAGTGTGAGCTAAGCAGACACCTGCAGGAAGTGCATATTTGGGCAAAGGGAAGAACAAACGCAAAGGCCTCAGAATGTGTTTGAGTTAGAGAAGAGCAAGAAAACAGTGTGGCTGGGGCAGAGTGAGTGACAGAGGGGAGATGTGGAGGTGATGATGAGAGGGGAGGAAGCCTGTAGCATGAGGCCTTGGAGGCCTTGTAAGGATTTTGACTTTTATGTGGAGTGAGATGAGAAGGCAGTGAAGGATTTTGCAAAGAGGAGACATGATTTGATTTACTTTAAACTGTCTTTCTGGTCTATGTTGAAAATTGACCCTAGGTAGGCAAAGGATATTTAATTATTTAGGGGAGGGATGATTTGGTTTAGGAGATGTAGTAAGAAGATTACATTCAGGATGTATTTTGAAGGTGGAGTCTACAATATGATGAAGGATTAGATGTGAAGGGTCAGAGAAAAAGAGAGATCAAGGCTGACTCTAGGGTTCCTGGCTTGAATAACTGAAGCAGTGGAGCTGCCGTTTCCTGAGATGCAGAAGGCACAATGGGGAGTGGATTTTGGAGGACGATTAGAAGGAGCTCAGGTTTTCGACATGTTAGGCTTCGAATGGGCATTTGACATCCAAGTGATGTAATCTGAAACCCTGGTTTATCTGTGCCTTTAGTCAGATACATTTCTTGAATTTTCTATGTTTATAAGCCAATGTAATGTCTTAGGTTGTAATCCATGAAAAGGCAAGAGCTAAGACTGTAACCTTCTCGTATAGCTCCTCCTAAGTTTCTCTCTCTCTCTCTCTCTCTGTGTGTGTGTGTGTGTGTGTGTGTGTGTGTGTGTTTGAGAGAGAAAAAGAGTGTTTTGAGGAAAACCATTAATAAATTATTTTTGATGATAATTCAATTTAGAAGACATTTATTGAGTGAGTAAGACCGTGACTGCCTTCAGGAGCAAAGGAGACAGATACATTAACAAATAGTTATAATGCAATGTGACATGAACCATCATAGGAGTATGGGAATATAGATCTGAAGAAAATTAAACCTGTTGGTTTCAAACCAAGATATGGCTTAGTTTCCTGTCGTGGTCTCATTCCCCTGGTGAATTTGATGGATGTGCCAGGAATCTTAACCAGATGTGTGGATGATGCAGCAATTGTGTTGAGTGTACTGGCTGGACGCGACCCCAAGGATTCTACCACATTACAAGATCCTGTTAAACCATTGATACTTCCCAGTTTGACAGATGTGAACAAACTATGTATAAGAATTCCAAAGGAATGTCTTGTACCAGAATTATCAAGTGAAGTACAATCTCTTTGGTCCAAAGCTGCTGACCTCTTTGAGTCTGTGAGGGCCAAAGTAATTGAAGCATCTCTTCCTCACACCAGTTATTCAGTTGTCTGCTACCATGTATTGTACACATTGAAAGTGGCATCAAATATGGCAAGATTTGATAGGCTGCAATATGGTCACAGATGTGACACTGATGTGTCCACTGAAGCTAGGTATGCTGCAACTAGACAAGAAGGGTTCAATGATGTGGTGAGAGGAAGAAGTCTCTCAGGAAAGTTTTTCTTGTTAAAAGAAAACTATGAAAATTATTTCATCGAAACACACAAGGTGAGAAGCCTCATTGCTAATGATTTTGTGAATGCTTTTAACTCTGGAGTAGATGTCTTGCTAACTCCCACCACCTTGAGTGAGGCAGTACCATACTTGGAGTTCATTAAAGAAAACAGCAGAACAAGAAGAGCCCGGGATGATAGTTTTACACAGGCTGCAAACATAGCAGAATTGCTAGCAGTGAGTATCCCTGTTGCACTCTCAAACCAAGGGTTGCCAATAGAACTGCACGTTGTTGGATATGCATTTCGTGACCAGTAGCTTCTTACGGTAGCCAGAGGATTTGAAAAACAAGTACAGTTTTCTGTTACTAAACTTCAAGAACTCGTGGGTGATTGTTCATCAGTCCTTGAAAATGAAAAGCTAGCCTCTGTCTCTCTCAAACAGTAGAGATAAATATATCATGCAAATTAAAATGACTTCTAGAGATTCAAAAAAGAAATTATTGTTTGCATTTTTAACTTGGCCATGGTTATCCTGTTAGACATGGAACCATAAAGATGTAAAATTTACTGAAGGGTTAATTTAGTCTGCAAAGCATAGGCATTAATTCACAGCTAAGATAATAGAGAAATTTGTCAAGGACAGAATATGATAAAGCCTGTAAGAAGTAAAGTCAGACTGTCTATTGACTTTGGACTTTATTATCTCTTTTTTATTTTCTCCCCCTTTTAATAACATTTAAAATGTAATTAAAATGATGTGAGAGTGTTTCTAGGCATGTATTTGGATCTTGACTTGGGTCCAGCTTAGTAGTCCAACTTTTCAGTGTCATTAATAAAATATTAGGGCTGGAAGTAATCCCTCTTTTTTTTTTTTTTCTATGCCTATCACCCTCATTGGATGTCTCCTAGCACCTACAGTCTACAAAATTGTTTTCCAAAGTGTATCCATGGGTGCTAGTTCTATGGAATGCTAATAGTTATCTGGCAAAAACGGGCTTGGGCCAGTCAAGTAAGTTTCCTTCCTCAGGACCTGTGGAGTCTGTTGCATATTAATGTACACAGAAAATGTCCAAGATGGGGCCAGGGGTAGAGAGTGAAATATGGTGTGCACAAGATTCAGAGCTTCCCCAAATGATTTATATTTGTTAACAAATGATATGTAGTCTTGGACTTTTCTCTGCTTTATGTTTGTGTCTCAGTGAAATTTTGTGTTCTATAACAGTGCTTAAATGGTGGTGTTTTTTGTTTATTTGCTTTAAGTAAAAAAATAGCTTAAATTTTTGAAGCAAAGTAAAAATCATAGCTTGCCTTACTTTTAAGAACAGCTTTATTGAGGTGTAGTTGGTCTAACTTAAATGTACATATTTAAAGCATAAAATTTGATAGGTTTTGATGTATGTATATAATTGGGAACTCATCACAATCAAGATAATGAACATCTCTGTCATTCCCAAAGTTTTCTTGCATCTCTTCCCTTCTTCCTGCCTTCTTTTCCCGGTCCTCTCTCTATCCTCAGGCTGATGTGCTTTCTGTCACTATAGATTAGTTTCTGTTTTCTAGGATTTTATGTAAATGGAATCAGTGTATATACTTTTTCTTTTTTTGATATGACGTCTTTCACATAGCATAAATATTTTGAGATTTATCCATGTTGCATTTTCAGTAGAAAATTCTTTTTCACTGTTGAATACTGTTCCATTATATGGTTATATCATAGTTTGTTTATCCATTAATCTGATGATAGATATTCGGTTTTCTTCCAGTTTTTTGCTACTACAAATGAAGCTGCTATGAACATTTGGGTACAGGTCTTTATATGGACATATTCTTTCATTTCTCTTGGAACTACCCCTACGCATGATCATAATAGGTATATGTTCATACGTTTAAGAAACTGCCAAACTGTTTTTAAAAGTAGTTCTGCCATTTTACATTCCTGCCAGCAGTATAGAGTTCTACTTCTTTAACATCTTTGCCAGTACGTGGCATGAAGTTTTAATTTGCATGTTCTTGATGTCTGATGATGTTGAACCTCATTTGATGTGCTTATTTGCTCTATCTTCTCTAGTGAAATGTCTGTTCAAATATTTTGCCTGTGTAAAACATACTAGGTTTTGATTATTGAGTTTTGAGGGTTCTTTGTGTATTCTACATACAAATTCTTTATCAGATACATGATTTGCTATTTTTTCTTCCAGTTTTTGGCTTGTATTTTAATCTTTTAGCAGTGACTTTTGAGAACAGACATTTTAAACTTAAAGTTCAATTTCTCATTTTTTTTTTCTTTATGGATCTTCTGTTAGTATCATATATAAGGGTTATCTCTGACAAATCCAAGGTCACAAGGATTTTCTTTTATGTTTTCTTCTAGAAGTTATGTAATTTTAGGCTTTACATTTATGATACATTTTGAGTTAATTTTTGTATATTATGCAAAGTTTAGCATAAACCAAAGGTGGTTTTTTTTGCACATGAATATCCAATTTTTTCAGCACCACTTGATAATAAGACTATAATTTGTCCACTGAATTGCCTTTGCACCTTTGTAAAAAAAATCAGTGGTCCATGTAAATGTGGGTCTATTTTTGGGTTCTCTCTTCTGCTCCACTGATCTATTTGTCTGTCTATAAGACAATATGACATTGTCTTGGTACCTTGAGGGTCGGCAAACTTTTTTCTTAATGGGTCAGATGGTAAGTATTTTGGGCTTTGTGAGGTACATATGTCCGCTGTAGTGTTTTTTTTTTTTTTTTTTTTTTTTTAACAACCATTTAAAAATATAAAACCCATTCTTAGCTTGAGGACTGTAAAAAACAGGTCATGGGCTGAATTTGGTCTACAGGTCTTAATTTGCTAACTCCTGCTATAGTGTTATAATACATTTTGAAAGTGGGTTGTGTTAGTCTTCCAACTATGTTCTTTATTTTCAAAGTTGTTTTTGCTGTTCTAGGTCCTTCACATTTCCATATGAATTTTAGAATCAGTTTTTTCAATTTCTACAAAAAAGGAATTTGGAGATTTTCACTGGTCTTTGCTTTTAGGGTCGCGTTGATTCTCTAGGTCAATTTTGGGAGAAATTACATTTTAACAATGTTAAGTCTTACGGCTAATGAGCATGATATCTCTCTCCATTTATCTAGGTCTTTGTTAATTTCTCTCAGTAATTAACACTGAACAGGTCTTGTGTACCTTTTGTCATACCTAACCTCAGGTATTTAATATATTTTTAAGGTACTATAAATAGTAGTGTTTGAAAATTTTAATTTCCATTTTTTGCTGCTTGTATAGTGAAATAAAACAGTTTTATGTCTTGATTTTATAAAATGAAAGTTTACTAAACTCACTAATTCTGATACCTTTTAAACATATTTCAGAAGATTTTCTACATAGACATTTTTGTCATCTGCAAATAAAAATATTTTTAATTGTCCCTTCCCATTCTGGATAATTTTTATTTTATTTTTCCTGACTTTTGGCACTGGCCATAACTCCCAGGACAATGCTAGGTAGAAGTGATGAGAGAAAACATATTTGTCTTTTTCCTAATCTGAGGTGATGATTAGTTTGCTAGGGCTGCTATAACAAAATATTGCAGACTGGGAGGCTTAAACAACAGAAATGTATTTTCTCACAGTTCTGGCATCTAGGAGTCCATGATCAAGGTGCTGGTAAGTTTGTTTTCTTCTGAAGTCTCTCTCGATGACTTGCAGATGGCTGCCTTTTCACATGATCTTTTTCTGTGTCTGTCTCTGTCCTATTCTCTTATGAGAGCACCAGTCATACTGGATTATGGCTGGGCCATGTATTCTCATTTACCTTAATTATATCTTTAAAGGTCATATCTCCAAATACCCACGGTACATCTTGAGATACCATGGGTTAGGATTTGAACAGATGAATCTGGAGGATGGGCTGCAATTCAGCCCATAACATGGGGAAAGCATTCAGTCTTTCATCATTACGTATGATGTTAGCTGTAGGTTTTTCGTAGCACTGTTTCATGTTGTGGAAGTTCCCATCTATTCTTAGTTTGCTGAGAGTATTTATCAGGAATTAATGGAATTAATATTGAAATTTGTCAAATACCTTTATACATCTGTTGAGCTAGTATGATTTTTCTTAATTTGTTTATGCTATGCTGTTAGAATGTTAGCCAACTTTGCATTACTGGGATAAATTCTAATTGGTCATAATGTATTAACTTTTAAAGCATATTGTTGAATTCCATTTTCAGAGATGTGCTATCTAATGAGATAATAAAACTATCAAAATATAAGTGACACTTATACATAAAACATAAAAAGGTCAAAATCAAAAGAATTCTTTGAACAAGAGTGTGCTGAATTAAAACCATGGCAGAAGTAGATGTTGAAAATTGTATGCATAAAAATAGAACTTTATATTGATAACACTAAAAATCATATATAATTGCTTAAGTTGTTTGAAAGGTGTTCGCTGGGAAATATAGGATAAATACATAGCAAAGTAGCTTAAGCTACTTTGACAGGTAGATGTAATTGTATTTGGACACAATAGCTTGATGTAATTTTGAACTGGATAATGATATAAAACCAACTCAAAGAACAAATAAAACTAGCAAAGTGTTTTTCATTGTAATCTGACTTATGCACTGATATCACTAACTTGCAATTCTTTTTATACATGTGCAATTTGAACATGATGGTGGTTTGAAAAATTATTTTTTTTAGCTTCACTGTTGACAATTATGATTAGCTCTGAACTGTCTAAATCTGTGAAGGATTACAAAGTTAACCAGTATGTTTTAGAATTTTAGTTTTGTGTAGAAGCATGCTCTGATGTCACACTTTCAGTGAAAAACAATTTTCTGAAGTAGTTAACCTAGATCAAGGACCTTGGGTCAGAAGAAAAATCAATGTATTGTTTTTTTTTTTTAATTGCAAAGTCATGCTATGAAAAAAAGCCTAAATAATGTTCCAAGTGATACAGTAAAAATTGTAAATTAAAGTCAGTGGAGTGCATTACATTCTAGATTATTCTCTTTACTATGTGATAACTTGAAAGATGAATTACAGATGACTTTCATTGTACATTAAAGCACAATTACAGAACAGAAAAGTTGAGCGTGCTTGATTTATAGAATAAGCTCTTAATACTTCTGCAAGGTAAGGAAAGTATTAGGTCTCATCTTCTTAAAGAGGTAAATTGGACATCTGGACTGCTCATTTGTCTGATGTCTTTGGTATTGTTGTATTTGACCGAGTGTAGAAAGTTATCACAAGACAAAAGTATGCCGGATTGCAGGGTCATTTTATTATGTCGGCGACCACAGAGGACTCACGTCTCTCCAACCTGTGGTGACAACAGGAGGGTGCCACGATTTTTTATACCCGAAAAACCACCTTGGGAGTGGGGGTGAGGGGCAGGGATGGGGATGAAAAGGCTTCAGACATTCCGAGGGCTAGTGGATTCTGTAAATTACCTCCTGGGCAG